TGCCACATGAGAAATCGAGTGAATATCCAATGTTGTAAAAATTTGAATTTCAAACGCTCATAAAAATTTAATTTGACTTTCCTGTAGAGATTTTTTTATTGATAAAGGTAGACAATCTTATGAGTAATCTTGTATTAGATTTTCAAATCTTAGATTTAAAAAGAAAAATTTTTACGAATTCTTAACTCAAAATAATTTGCTAATTTTCGTGATTTTTCCATATTTTGTCAATTTTTGAACTTTAAATGCTTATAAAAAAAAATTGTGACTAAGGATTTTTAATATTTTTCATCTGCCTTTGAAACAATATATTAGGAGCCTTCTATTAAATTTTCAAGCTTTCGCAACCAACAAATAAAATTTTATTGATATTTCTAGAAAAAAAACTAAAAAAAAACTAAAAATGAAAATGTCCCTAAACTGTTCAAAATAAATCAAAATATTTTGAAAATGTTATCGTGTATAGAAGATGCAAATATAAACAACCAGTGAAAATTGCATGTGCCTACGGTCATTTGTTTTAAAGTTACACCAAAAACCAAATTCAATTTTCTGAAAAATCGATTTTGCGTAAAAATTCCCGTTTTTCCTTAATTTTTCTTTTGTTTTTCCCGGCGCTCTTGAAAACTACTGGGAAATTTAAATTTTGACCTCCCCAATGCACCAACGATATTCACTTTCCAATCGAACAAGATACTGAAGTCGAAAATCGAAGCATTATTTCGACTACTTATCGTGTACACAGACACAAAAAAAATAAAAAATAAAATAAAAAATAAAATAAAAAAAAAAATAAAAAATAAAATAAAAAAAAAAATAAAAAAAAAACACACATCATTGTAAAATCAATACATTCATCGTTTCACTCAGAATCTAAAATAAAAAAATAAAAAAACACACATCATTGTAAAATCAATACATTCATCGTTTCACTCAGAATCTAAAACACACATCATTGTAAAATCAATACATTCATCGTTTCACTCAGAATCTAAAAATGATATTATTACTATGAAATATAATTAAAAAAAGGTGGGCAAGTGGGTGTCGCTCTGCTGTACAGTAGGTTACAAGTGGGTCACTGTATAATGGATGGTATTAAATTTGAATTCAATGATATAATATCATTGTATAAGAAAAACGATTCTGAGCGGTGACGGTATGTCAGTCTAGTATAAGACATATTATATACATATCTATGGTATTAAACAAAAAATTGACCTATAACAGGTACCTATAATAAATTCCAAATTAATCATATCACAATATCCATTAGATACTTATAACTCGTTATACATCAACAAAAACCGTGATACTATCATAGATATATAATAGTACACTTTAGAAGTTTCAAGTACCCACGAATAATATTATTCAATCACAACAAAATAACTAAAATAGTTATTCTAGGTTTTTTAATATGTAATTTCGTCCAAATTTGAAATTAAAATGTCTGTAAAAAATAAGTGTGTTTATATATTTTTTAGATTTTTTGGTTACAGTATGAATTATTTAAGAGAATCTTTGTTTTAAATTTTCAACTCTTAGTTATAAAAACTGAACATTTTATAATTTTTTAATTCCAACGATTGATTATTTTCGAGATTTTGATAAATTTTGTCAAAATTCCAACTTTAAATGCTTATAAAAAAAACTGTGCCTATGTATTTTTAATATTTTTCAACTGCTATTGTAACAATATATCAGGAGCCTTGTATTAAATTTTTACACTTTTTGGCCCAACAGATAAAACTTTATTGATATTTATAGAAAAAAAACTAAAAAAAATTGAAAGGTGTAAATGTCCATAAACAGCTCAAAAAGAGTCAAAATATTTTCAAAGTTGTATGGTGTATAGAAAATGCTAATTTAAACATTCAGTGAAATTTTCATGTATCTACAGTTGTTCGTTTTTGAATTGCAACAAAATAAGGAAATCGCTACATGAGTAATCGAGTGAAAATCCAATGTTGTAAAAATTTGAATTTCAAACGCTCATAAAAATTTAATTTGACTGTCCGGTAGAGATTTTTTTATTGATAAAGGTAGATAATCTTATAAGGAATCTTGTGTTCATTTTCAAATCTTAGATTTAAAAAGAAAAATTTTTACGAATTCTTAACTCAAAATAATTTGCTAATTTTCGTGATTTTTCCATATTTTGTCAATATTTGAACTTTAAATGCTTATAAAAAAAAATTGTGACTAAGGATTTTTAATATTTTTCATCTGCCTTTGAAACAATATATTAGGAGCCTTCTATTAAATTTTCAAGCTTTCGCAACCAACAAATAAAATTTTATTGATATTTCTAGAAAAAAAACTAAAAAAAAATGAAAAATGAAAATAAACAGTTCAAAATAAATCAAAATATTTTGAAAATGTTATCGTGTATAGAAAATGCAAATATAAACAACCAGTGAAAATGTCATGTATCTACGGTCATTTGTTTTAAAGTTACACCAAAAACCAAATTCGATTTTTTGGAAAATCGATTTTGCGTAAAAATTCCCGTTTTTCCTTAATTTTTATGTTGTTTTTCCCGGCGCTTGTGAAAACTACTGGAAAATGTTTACTTTTGACCCCCCAAAGTACCAACTAGATTCACTTTCCTATCAGAAAAGGTACTATTGAAGAAAATCGAAGCACTTTTACTGTCCCAAAACGTGATGACAGACACAAAAATATAAAAATATAAAAATATAAAAATATAAAAACACACATCATTGTAAAACCAATACATTCATCGCTCCGCTCAGAATCTAAAATATAAATAAAAATATAAAAACATACATCATTGTAAAACCAATACATTCATCGCTCCGCTCAGAATCTAATATCAAAAAAACTATATATATACAGTTATAACATAAAATGCTTACATTCATTATAACAATGATTGTTGAATCAATCATCATTTAACATGTTATGAAATGCATTTAGGTATGACTAGATATTATTTTATGAAAATATAGAAATTGATTGTATAATTGATTAACTGCAAATAAATTGATTAAGTATTAACGATGTACCTACCTTTAATTTATCTGATTAGCAATTAATCGACTTGATGTAGTTTGTTTTCGTTAATATAAGCAATGTGTATAACTCAATATAGTATTTCAATATTTTTAATTATATTTCATATTAATAAAAAACAATTTTTTTTTTATTTTATTGTATTGTACTCAATCTTGCTCAAGATGATTTTCAAAATTTTTCTAGTCGAAGGATTAAATATCTATTTTTACTATTATAAAAATATGATAAAATGGTTAATATTGATCAAGTTATTACATAAAGATTGTGTAATTCTATTTATTGATTATTAAATTTATTATTTTATTTTAATAAAATTAATTCAATAAACCTATTAAATAATTGCAAAAAATTTACAAAAAGGTTTTATTTAGTTTGGAATACCTACCTACTTCCAATTTGTAAGTCTATAAGTTATTTTCCCCTAATGATCTATTGAGTAGAATTGCATGTAATGCTTATGGTGAAAGTTCATGTCTTACCCTATAAAAAATAATTTTAATTGTTTTGTCATACACGATACACCTGATTTAGTATTATTTAATAGAAAACTATTTTTAATTTGTACGTAATTAAAAATATAGGTAAATCAGATATTATATAAAACTAGCTGATCCCGAGCCCTTTTTTGCCCGTTAAATGTACAAACTATATATGACTCAAAATTTGTTCAATTTGTTATTTAATAATCGATGTATGGTCTTCAAAATTTATCTTAAATTTTCCGTTGCCCGGAATAAAAATTCTGATTCACAGCAGTATATTATCAGGTAGGCAATCTACCTGCGGTAGATCGCGGACCCCGTGTTGTTTGTACATAAGTGTATGATTTAACTCTAAAGTATCTAAGTTATACCAAGTTTGTCGTATTCCATCTATGTCCACCTATGGTGGAATAATTTAATAAATTAATACAAAATCCTAACCTAACCGTACTAATATCAGATGAATAAAAAAAACCCAAATTTAACCATTTTTAAATTAGCCTGTCTTCTTTTTTGGACCAGCCGTTCTCGATTGATGAGGTAACGTACATTTTTCATGCTCTATTTTTATATATATAGATATTAATTAATTTATATTTTTAAATCAAATAGTAGTTACTTGATATTGTTAAGAGAATGTGATACCAACATGTGTTGTCTCCGTCTTACAAGTGCGTAACATAGCATTAGGCAACCTAAAGGGCTTTTTAAATATATTATAATTTTTAAGCAAGTTATGTGTATTTTAAGATGTTCAAACTATTTACAATTTTAAAATACTCATAACTCACGTTAAAATTAAAATATAATAAAAAGCCCATGAGGTTGCTTTTAGATTTTATAAGAGGTCAATTCGCTCCAATATTTAAATTAACGGAGATACACATGTTTGGCTAAGCGTAAAATTTGCTATGCTACACACTTGTAAGACGGAGATAACACATGCGGGTATTATATCCTCTTAACGACTTAAACTCTAATATTCTAATCTGATAATACTTGATTAGTATAATTTTTTATGTACCTATTTGATTTATTGTTTCTTAACATTAGTTAAATGCATACATTTTGTAGAGATGGTACTAGTCAAACAAAATTCTTTAATAAATAAAATTACATTTAGTTTCTTAACATAAAATAAAAGCTTACAACAAATAGCATTAAATTAATTATATTTCTTATGATATAGAGTATAAGGTTAAAAACATTAAAATATTGTTATGTATACTATACATATTTTCTTTCCTTTTACATCTAATTGATGGTACATTTACAAAATATTTACAAATTTGGTGGTGATTATCATTATTTAGTTTTCATTACATTTATTAATATTCAAACATAGATATTATTTAATTTGTTGAATTTTCCATCTGAAATAATTGAGTTATTTTTGAAAACATCACTACACGTCATAATCATCCTCATTTTTATATATTATAACTTTTGATTTGGAAATTTATTAAAAAATATATGTTATTCTCTACTTTTTAATATTTCATTTGAATCAGTTAAGCTATTCTTCAGTATTTCATTATTGTAATTTTCCTCTTCTGTTATTTTATCAATTTCTTCCTTTATTAATTCATTATTTTGCATGATTTTGTCTTCTTTTTGATTGATTGTTACATTGTTACTTAGACTTAAACTTTCTTTTTCTTTTGCAGTATCATCAGAGGAAAATTCTTCCTTTATTAATTCATTATTTTGCATGATTTTTCCTTCTTTTTGGTTGATTGTTACGTTGTTACTTAGACTTAAACTTTCTTTCTCTTCTGCTGTATCATCAGAGGAAAATTCTTCCTTTATTAATTCATTATTTTGCATGATTTTTCCTTCTTTTTGATTGATTGTTACATTGTTACTTAGACTTAAACTTTCTTTTTCTTCTGCATCATCATTAGAGCCAATTTCTTCCTTTATTAATTCATTATTTTGCATGATTTTGTCTTCTTTTTGATTGATTGTTACATTGTTACTTAGACTTAAACTTTCTTTTTCTTCTGCAGTATCATCAGAGGAAAATTCTTCCTTTATTAATTCATTATTTTGCATGATTTTTCCTTCTTTTTGGTTGATTGTTACGTTGTTACTTAGACTTAAACTTTCTTTTTTTTCTGCATCATCATTAGAGCCAATTTCTTCCTTTATTAATTCATTATTTTGCATGATTTTTCCTTCTTTTTGGTTGATTGTTACGTTGTTACTTAGACTTAAACTTTCTTTTTTTTCTGCATCATCATTAGAGCCAATTTCTTCCTTTATTAATTCATTATTTTGCATGATTGTGTCTTCTATTTGGTTGATTGTTACATTGTTACTTAGACTTTCTACTGTATCATCATCAGAGTCGGTATTTGTGTCACTAATATTAAATATTAATAATTCTTCATTCACACAATTATCGGTCATAGGCTCATCGTCAGATGATGAATCAATAACTATGACACCATTGTCTACACTATAATTTGACTCGATTTCTGATAGTTCTCCTTCGTCTTCTTCATTAGTGACAATTTCCTTATCTACATTTTCGTCTATTATCATATCACTATCAGAATCATCACTGGAGTCAATTATCCTTCTTGATGCAAATTTTCTAGCCTGAGTGATCATTTCATGAACAGTTACAAAATTTCTTGTTTTTGACTTAGGTCCTGGTTTCATAGTTTTTCGGGTATTTTCAACCTCGATACAGGTTGGAATCAGACTTCTTTTGCGTTTAAGAGTTTTTTTTGGTTCCTGTTGGGATGAACATTCGCCACCACTATCAGATGATAATGATATACATACTGATGGTGCAATTGTATCATAATCATTGTTGTCAATTGGAGCAGATGAACATCGACGTTCAGCCACCTCGACAGATAAACTGTGTTCGAAGGACTCAGGTTCAGATGAATGACGCTTAAATACAAGCAGATTATTAGGGCATGGTACTGTTAAAGGTATAGCTATACCTTCAGGCATTGTGTCTGAGTCATCTTCGCCATCGCTTATTTCTATAACATCAGATTCAATTACTTCCTCAATTACTTCCTTTTTTATTTCGGATTCTTTTAGAAGAACAGCAGGTATATCCATTTTTTCTTGATCAATTTTGCTTCCAGTCGCACTTTCATCTAAAACGCTTCCAGTTGCACATTCATCCAAAACGCTTCCAGTTGCATTTTCATCCAAAACGCTTCCAGTTGCATTTTCATCCAAAACGCTTCCAGTTGCACATTCATCCAAAACGTTTCCAGTTGCACTTTCATCCAAAACGCTTCCAGTTGCACATTCATCCAAAACGTTTCCAGTTGCACTTTCATCCAAAACGTTTCCAGTTGCACTTTCATCCAAAACGCTTCCAATCGCACATTCATCCAAAACGCTTCCAGTTGGACTTTTATCCAAAACGCTTCCAGTCGCACTTCCATCCAAAATGCTTCCAATTGTACTTTGATTAGTTTCACTTCCAATCGCCGTTTGATCTATTACACTTCCAACCGTGTTTGGATTAATTTCGCTTCCAATCGTACTATGGTCCATGTTGCTTCCAATCGAACTTAGATCAAATTCGCTCGACATATTTAAAAATTAATCGACACCTAAAAAAAACAACAAAATACATTAATAAAAGTTATATATTTTTTTTAACATATTTTACATTAACATTTAATACTTAAAGGAAAAAGAAAAAGAAACTACTATTATTAAAACACGCATTATAGTTAATGTAATTGCATGTTTTTTATACCAATTATTAAAAAATATGTATCTTACACTAAAAACAAATGTAATCTTATTTTTATATTAGCAATACACATAGCAGGGAAGACAAAAAAAAAAATACAGAATAAAATGGGGTCTCAATAATAAGGAAGACAACAAGTGTGAATGCGGCAAACGGCAAACAGATGAACACTTACTCAACTGTACCATGAATCCAACACAGTGTACCAAGGATGAGCTAGCACGAGTAAACAAGAATGCCATAGACATAGGTAGCTACACATTGGCTGCAATATAAGATTTGACAAAGTTACCGACCATTAATATTAATTATTACTATCTATTTATTTATTTACTTATTTGTTTACTCATTTTTTTTATATGTTATATAACTCTGTGAGCTAACTCTGCTGAATATTGAGTTACAAGTGGGTCACTGTAATTGGAGGTGTACGCTCAAAACGAGTCGAATTATTTTGAAAATTTTATCTGTGCAGGAATCGATAAAATAAATGTGTAACTTTCAAGTATTTACATCAAAATAAGAAAATCGATAAATGAGAATCGAGTGAATATCCAATGTTGTAAAAATTCGAACTTCTGTTAGAAAAGTGAATCTAGTTGGTAGTTTTTACAGACTTTTCAATATTTTTATTTTCAATAGATGAAAATATGGGTATGGGAAATATTACAAATTAATAATGCTCATAATATCTAACTTGAAAATTAAAATATTGAAAGATCGCTGACCCATAAGCACAGATAATGTTCTTTCTAAAGTTTGATAATAGGTAAATTCACTATAATATCAAAACTGTAAGCACACTATTGAAACTAGTAAATGAGAATATAATATATCGGACATGTATAAGACAGAGACAATAAATGCATAGGTAGCGTACTCTTAAGAAATAACATTTAGCATTAAATAATCTAATTTTATTTCTGCTGCAAAATTTAAGAAACTTCATAAATTATATTAAATGTATGTAAAAAACGCATTATACCTCGCCGCAACCACCCAAAACACCATTCCTCGAATCAAGTTGCATGTTCCAAATAACCACATTTTAGCCGCAAACGAGTATAGATCATGAGTTGAATAGAGACTAGTTCAATTTCTAGTAAACAAAGAGTGGAGAAGTGAACTTAACATTTTTCAGAGGCTAGTATAATATTTCACCCATCTTGCAACACTAACAACCCGATGATTAAGTCATTCACCGTAATATTTTCAACTACCTATCATCATGGTTATTCTAAAATAGGTATTATAGTTAGTACTAAATTATCACCTACTGGTTGTCATAATATAGTATGCAGTCTACTAGCAAACACATTCCACCGGCTGTTGTCATCTGCTATGGCATAGGTTCTTAACCTTTTTTGGATCCCTTTTAAACCCCCTCTACCCCCCCCCCCCCCAAAAAAAAAAACCCAGTACAATTTATTATTTTAATACTAATTAGTAAGACTTAATTTAAAATCTTATAATAGTAATTTTTGTTAAGTACACCTCTATAACTGCAGCAGTCATTTATTGCAATTCGCAACACAACATGACACAACCGGCCAGTCTTTTTTAATATTTAAAAAAAAAACAAAATGTTTTATTGAAATTCTGATACATCTATTGTCTTTTAGACAAAGTCTCATATTTATATGTAAATCAAACATCGAAAATAAAATTTATAGATGGATAAATTATTGTGTGAAACGAGCAACTTTTTCAACTATGTGATGGGCAATTATATCGAGCCTGGCGCAATGATGTCACCTGGCCATTATAATCTCCTTAAATAATTATTTTATTTTACAATGAATTTTGACCAAGTTGTTTTTGATAGTTCTAACAACCTACAATAATTTAATATTAAATAATAACTTGAAGAAAAAATTGTTTTTGTGTTTTCTACTCCTTCAATACTAGCTTAGACCTATCACATTAACTACTTATTTAAGTGTGAAATGTGAATAATTAGATTACAATGTGCTTAAACAAACTCATAAAATATTGTAATCTGTAATTATGTAATAATTAGGGCCCAGATTTACATGCCCTAAACACTATCCAAAAATAACAAAACATGCATTTTATCCGAAATAGTGTTCATAAAAAGTCAAAAATTGTTTAAACCAAGCAAAGAGAATTTTGCTTTCATGAAATTGAAAAAATAAACTTTATTACGATGTAATACCAACTGACAAATTAGTTGTTACTGGTATAGAGTTCAGGTAATATACTGTAGACAGATAAAGGCGTTAACGATGCATCAGAAACATAAATAGTACATACATTTCTTGAACTAATATTTTGAATTACCAATTAAGTTTAAACTATAAATGTATATATTGTATATTCACTAAATATTAACAAAATTACCTAAATTATAAAAAAAAAAAAAGTTCTAAACATACCATAAACTGCTAATAACACAAAAAAATTCAAAATTTCAAGTATCTGATGTTGGAAACAGAATTTGTACCTGAAAATCGTTTTCCCAAAAATAATGCATCTGGGCGCCCTAATAAATTATCATAATTTTTTTATTGTTGAATAGGTTTTATCATAACAGAAGATTAGTCATTCAAGTTAAAAATAAGTGCATCTATTATTAATTGTATAACATAACACACACATTTTAATTTATGAAGAACCTAAAACTATTGCATTGATCCTAGTAAATTTAGTTGGTGGGTAGCTTATGAAGTTTGCTCCTTGAGTTTAGCAGATAACCTGTCACAGAAATGATCTGGAAGCATTGATTGACAATGATTATGATTTATGACAGATTGCAGATTGTAATCACAGTCTTAGGAGTCTGACAGTGATCGGTAATTTAGTCTGTATAAGCAAGAACGGTTTCCACTTAATCTGAATAGAGTATAAGATCGGAATGATATAAATTGAGATTAAGTGGTACATTATTTATAAGTATTAATCAAAAATGTCAACCTCTATTTTAATCTTACTCAAAAATAACTAAAGTTAAAGTTAAGCACTATGCTTTATAATTCATCTACAGATAGACCATTTGATTTCTTAGAAAATAAAAATAAAATACATTATATTATGTTCTAAACACAAATTAAGATATATATCTTATGTATTTGTGGTTCTGATAGTAAGTCTAACTAGATCCAGTAAAAATATTTAACAATTCCAATAGTTATCTTAAAGGTAAAAAAAAGAGGTGTAAAAATGAAATCAATCCAGTGTTACGCCCGTTACTTTAACAGTAGAGTTAACCTACCAACAAACTAAAAGACAACAATTATTTGTTCAATACACCTGAGAGGGCAGGTAGGCCTACCAAGGAATCGTGATTATCCTGGTGGGCCCCAGTCAGTACTAAATTATGGGGAACCCAGTCTCAACACCATATTTTTTGTTTTAAATGTTATTAAAATTATAATATCAAACTATACTCAATTTCAAAATAGTTTATTTAGTTGATTTATAAATAATGAAATAAATAAACCCCCTCCCTAACGCTGGCCCTGACACTAGGACAAAGCTATAACATTACCATTTTGTTTTGCAAGACACACAGTTATTCAGTTAAACTTATAAAATTAAAATTAAGTGTTACTACTTCTACTAAATATATACCTACTGTCATTATACTTATATTATTATATTAATTATTATCTTATATAAACTAATGTGTAGGGGGGACGAGGTGGCCGAGCGGTCGAACACGTCGTCTGCGGCGCTGGCGGTTGCAGGTTCGATTCTCTCGACCACTGGGCGGCATTTTTCTCCGGGCAAGTCACGGTGTCCGGAGAACAAGTGCCGCCATCCCCCACTCCGGGGCATGGAAGAAACCTACGGGTGCCCCAATAGAAATTCTGCCAAACACAACACACACGTGTAATAACCCTACAATTTCAAACCCTACTACCTACAATCATAAACCCTACAATCAAGCTAATGGCCAGTCGCCAGGCTTTAAAAAGATCAATTAAAAAAAAAAAAAAAACTAATGTGTGTTATTTGTATTAATTATTTAAATTGTATATTGTATTGTTTTAAACTGTTGATTAAGGCTCAGCCCTTTAATAAAGATTAATAAATAAAATAAAATAAATAGATAATAGACTATTAGTAGAGATCGGAAGTTGTATTTTTTTTGTATGCCCTTAAATATAGCAGATCAAGCTAGATATCCATTCTATATAATGACAAGTTGAAATGCAAAAATTAAAAATACATATTTTTGCATATATTATCTATTTTAGAAAAGTGTGTATTTCTCAATTTGTATGGGCTTTTTATACCTACTTGTTTAATATTTTTGCACTAAAAAAATATTCTTTCAGATACTGTCGTTTGTTTGATATAGAAAATACCAAGAAAGTTCTAGTTGTTCAATTACAATAAGTTTAAAATTACAATTCATCATATCAGCCAACCAATTTTGAATTCAATAAAATCATAAAAAAAAAATTTTGGTAGGTATGCTTGGTACATATTTTTGCATATTTAAAAATTGTTCATGCATATTTTGCCTTCTTTAGCTCATACAAATTCAAAGCCCTAACTATTAGTTACAGTTTTTAATAAATTATTATAATATATTATACATTTGTACATAAACAAAATTTGTAATAGGTAACCTATTACAAAAGAACGGATTTAATAGATATTGAAACTTTTTATTGATATCAGGTAAATCAAATCTAATCAAATATGTAGGCACATGTAATTAGGTACAAACACCAAATCTAAAATATTTTTAACATCATAAACTATTTTCAATTTATTCAAACTATTGTCTTAGTAGTTTTTATTATTTAAGAAATAATTATTCTAGAAATTATAAAAAAATCAGAAACTTATATATCTACTCGGATATCAGTTTGATAACTTACATTGCCTGTAAAGCAACAGCGCCGGAGCAAGGCCGGGGCGAGCGGGGCACATGCCCCGGGCCCCGCGCTTTCAGGGTCCCACTAGAAATTATTATTTAAAATAAAATTATTTATATTTAAAACTCTTTTGTTAAGTTCCATACAGGATTTTATTATCGAGTATAGCTGCATAATATTATCTTGATGTTAGTGGTCGATCTCCGAAATATTAAAATATAATATTATTGTAGATGAGTTATAAATAAATCGAATTCGTAATTATTTTAAACCGCGATAACGATTCATAAATTTTATTTTCATAAAAACCAAATGCATGCTACTTGTTGTCTGGGTGTCTGTGTGTTTCTGTTATTATTTGATTATCATGAGTAACAACAATATTATATTAATAATATTTTTATTTTATTGTCATTTCACGTTTATATTTCATATTATGAAAATCTGAGAGGCGAACATAGAACAAAGTCATACAAAATAATAAATGCATTAAATGAAATATATGAGACAACTAATGATTCATTAGTATCGAGTGAAACTAATTCACTAGCAAATGAGATTATCACTTATGAGTTCTTGATTGGTTTATGTATTTGGTATGATATTTTGAGTGAAGTAAATATTGTCAGTAAGTCACTTCAAAACCCACTAACTAATTTAGAAACATCTGCTAAGTTGCTCAAAGCGCTTCAAGTTTTTTTGAATGAGTATAGAGATAGTGGATTTGAAAAAGCCAAAATAGAAGCAACCGATTTAGCAAAAGTTTTAGAGGTAGAACCTGTTTTTAAAAACACTCGACTACCAAATAAAAAAACGATTGTTTGAATATGAAAAAGCCGATGATGTTGTACAAAGTCCAGAAGAAAATTTTAAAATGTTTTACTTTTTGGTATTAGTTGATGGTGCTACTGGTGCTATAACTAAACGATTTGACCAAATAACGAATTTTAATAATATATTTGGATTTCTATATAATATTGGAAAGCTTCGGGTTGTTCCAGATACAAAAATTTTAAAATGTTGTCAAGACCTACAAATACATTTAACTGATAACGAAACAAAAGATTTAAATGATTGTGATTTATACGAAGAACTTTTGATTTTCCGCCATTTAGTAGATGAAAATATACCATTACTTCAGGTACTTTTTGAAGTAAAAAAAACTAATGCTTTTCCTAATATAAGTATAGCTTTGAGAATTATGTTGACTATTCCACTCACATCAGCTGGAGCAGAGAGATCTTTTTCGAAGCTTAAATTAATAAAAACTTATTTACCTAGTACCATGTCCCAACAACGACTCACTGGACTAGCCACAATTTGTATTGAAAAAGAACTATCCGAACAGTTGAACTATGAAGAAATTATAAATGATTTTGCTTCCAAAAAAGCCAGAAAGAAAATTATTTAGAACTTAAACACTAAAACCATTGATTAAATATATATTAATATATATTATATAATGTATATTTAATCAATGCTAAAACTAACTATATCAAATATAAATTATAATTTTAAATGTTTACTTGTTATTTTTATGTACTAAAAAATGATTTCAAATTAATTAACTATATTATACTATATTTTTTATTTTGATAATGTTGAGAAGTTTATAAAATAAAAGGGAATTAAAAAAAAAAATAAAAGTAAATTTATTGTGTAAGTAATAATACATACTTCTATATTTTTTTATACACTATAATATACTTGTAATCGCTAAAAAATATAATAATATTACATATTATGTTAAGCTTGATGTAAAACACTATTCAAATATTATAAAAACTTCCTAGTTCAGTTTCTAAAATAAAATCTTTTACCTACTATAAAATCATATTTTGTATTTTGTTGCATACATACTGTTTATTGTTAAACGAACTACGAAGCATGCTTTATTTATTTTCAAGTATTAGATACTTATAAAATTCTAATATATAGAGTATAGAGTCTAATATCTATATTATAGACTGTAAAGGTAGGTACATACCTACCTAATATTAACAAATATAACTATGTAAATTATATTTATCCGAGTTTAATAAGAAAATCGAATCTATATTTAATGAAATAAAATTGGTCAAAATAGAAAACGAACAAATTAAAAAAGAAAATACCATATTATCCAAAGAGATAAGTGAAATTAGACAAAAAATTGACATTCTCGAACAACAAAATCTTGGGGCCAGCATTGAAATAATAGGCATACCAAAAACTGAAAACGAGAACTGCATAAGTATAGTCAAAGAAATAGGAAAAAAAATGAATATCGTCATTCCCGTCATAGAAGCTAGAAGAATTACTGCAGAAAAGTCCAAGTCAAATTTAATTATTGCTAAGCTAGAATCAAAGGAAATAAGAAGTCAACTTATACGCAAATCAAAAAATGAAAAACTTAACGCTAATATGTTAGTCAATAACTGGCCTACTGAAAATAAAATATTTATAAATGAACACCTCACGAAAGACAAAAGAATACTTTTCGCCAAGACAAGAGCAGCCGCCAAAGACAAAAAATATAAATTCACTTGGATATCCAATGCAGAAATCCTTACAAGAAAAGACGAAAACTCAAAAACAATGCGCATCAGAACCTTTAGTGACCTTGAAAAAATGTAAGTCACTAATATGTATTTATTTTTTTTTTTCTCAACTTTTCTAGTATATATTTTTAATTAAGTTCCTATTTTTCTATGAATCCATTAAATACAATAAATAATATAACTACAAAAGAAACTGTGCCCTTATTAACTATTCAAGAAGCAAACTCAAATCTTTTCTCTGATAATTCAGGTCTAAATATTATGCACGTTAATATTAGAAGTCTTATAAAACACATATCTGATCTTGAATGCCTTAGTGCTGCTCTAAATAATAATAATCATATCATAATAACAACCGAATCATGGATAAGCGATAACTTTAATACTAAATTTATACCTTTTAAAAATTATCAGATAGTAGCCTCAATTAACAATGTGCGTAGAAGCGATGGTATACTTATTTTCATCAAAAATGAAATACACCAATCAAGTACCGAAATTACAATAACAAACGCAAATTGCATGCTTACTCTAATAACATACAAAAATATAAATTACGGAATTATATCTATATACAGATCCCCTAGTGGCAACTTAATTAAATTTATTGAAGAACTATATACAACAATCACTAATATTATAAATTCACATAAAAATACTACACTTATCTTAATAGGAGACATAAACATAGACCTCTTAGACACCACAAATTCAACAGCCGCTTATCTAGATTTACTAAACTCATTCGATTTTATTCAGCTTATCAACCGACCCACCAGACCTCAAACCAATACCTGTATTGATCATATATTTATTAAAGATAACCATAAACACTACAGTATACAAGCCGCAGTTTTAGACTCTCTTATTACAGACCATTTCCCGATAATTCTACGATTAGACAATAAAACTACAAGCGGGAAAAAAGCCTCAAATCAAAATACTTACAAATACGTTGATTTTAACAAACTTAAATTAATATCAAGCATAACTAATTGGAATGAAATTAAATTAGCTAAAACCGTTGAAGACAAAATATCACTACTTACGTCACTAATTCAAAATAACATAAAAAACTGTACTTCTATAAGACCCAAAAATAAAAACCAACTAAAACATTGGATCACTACTGGCATTATACAATCAATAAAAAAGAGAGACAAACTACATACTTTAACTAGACAACAGCCATTCAACACAGCTCTAATTGATAGTTATAAAAAATATAGGAATAAGCTTTCAGATATAATTACGAAACAAAAACAAAATTATTATAGGGAAGCAATCTCAAAAAACAGCAAAAATATAAAAAAGCTATGGTCAACAGTTAAAGATATAACAACCCATACTGAACACAAAATAACTAATTATAATATAAACATTAAAAATAAAATACATGACTCCAACTTAGACGCTACCTTAATTGCAGACACATTCAACTCATACTTTATCTCAATGGGAAATCCTAATAACGTAAATTCTAATAAAAAACAATGCCTTTCTGTCAATAACAATTCCGCTCAATCACTATACCTTAGAATGACCACGAAAAAAGAAATTAACTACACTATTAATAACATGAAAGGGGACTCGGCCCCGGGCAAAGACGGAATTACTATAAATATTGTAAAACATATTAAAGAATCTATATCAGATATCCTAGAACATATATTTAATACAATCTTAGTGGAATGTAATATACCGAATTCATTCAAAACCGCTTTAATCACACCTATACATAAAGGTGGAGATAAGTCCGATATTACTAATTATAGACCGATCAGTCTTCTGAACGTTTTTTCAAAAATATTCGAAAGAATCGTAAAAAAAAGACTTTTAACATACCTAGAGGAGAACCTTATTCTACCTAAATCCCAATATGGTTTCAGAGAAAATTTAGGTACTGAAGATGCACTAGCCCAAGTCTCCAAAGACTTATATACCAATCTAGAACAAAAAAACAAATCTTTAGGAATATTCATGGACCTGAGTAAAGCATTTGACAGCATCTCACACGACATACTATTAAGTACCCTACAATCAATAGGTATAGTTAACAAAACTTACAGACTTTTTGAATCCTACTTAAATAATAGAAAACAGCAAGTACAAATAGGTAATACCTTAAGTGACGAACTTATAATCTATAATGGAGTTCCCCAAGGCACTGTACTATCGCCTATATTATATATAATATATGTAGCAGAACTAGGGAATATAAATGCAAGCATACACGGCAAACTTTTTTCATATGCTGATGACACGGCTCTGATAATATCAGAATGTAGTTGGGAAAAGGCTTATCAACACGCCGAGTCTGACATGTTTACTATTAACAAATGGTTTTATAAACACAATTTGCGACTAAATTTTAACAAAACAAAATTTGTAACATTTACACAGGACAAAAGAACCCAACCGTTAATAAATGAAATTAAAATACATAATCCAAACTGTAAAACTCAGAATAAAAATGACTTGTGCGACATAATAAAAAAAACTGACAATATTAAATATCTAGGCATAATATTCGATCAACATATGAAATGGGATATTCAAATTCAAAATTTAATAATAAAAATGCGGAAACTTAATCACTTCTATATAAACGCTAAAAAAATACTCGATAAATCTATGTTACGTATGGTCTATTTTGCAATGACCCAATCATTATTACAATATGGCATTACCGCCTGGGGCGGACTTGGAATAGTGGCGCAAAACAAATTATTAACAGCACAAAAAAGCATTATAAAAATAATTCTAAACAAATCTAAAACCTATTCATCAGAAAAAATTTTTAAAGATATGAATGTCTTCGACGTAAAACAATTATTTTATAAAAATGCATTATATTTTACATATAAACTAAAATTAATAGAATTTAAACAAATCACGCGGACAACTCGCCAAAATAACAAAATAGCTATTCCTATAATTAAAACTTTAAAATCCAGTAGATACTTCGGTAAAGTAGGCCTTGAACTCTTAAATAACGTTCCTCTTCATATCTTAAACTGTCAATCATACTCAAAATTCAAACTTCTTATAAAAATATGGTTAAAAAATTCATACGACATAACTTAATTTTTCTACTTGTTTTCTATTTATCAGTCTGTACTATATCTTTCTCGCATATGTAAATCAAATAACCTCTACCCTTTCTTTTCCTTATATATTATCTCTATACTTGTGTATTAATATTTTTTTTCTTTTTGTTTTTATTTTAACTTCTTTAATTTTTTCTTGTTCAAATAAATTTTAATGTATAATTAATTAATTAATTTGTAAGACTCCAACTCACCAATACGAGGTTTCACCTCAGTGGTGAGTTGGGCCAAATATTTCTGTTATTATATATTTCAGTTACTATTTTAGTAATTACATGTTTTTGTGTAACATTGTTACTATTACATTGCATGTTTAATTGTTTTTTTATGGCCAAATAAATATTATTATTATTATTATTATATAAAATATGTATAGGACTTGTATTTTTTCCAGTTGGTAGCCGGTAGGTTTTTGCTTTCAAAAAAAAGGTCCTAAGCTTAAGATTAATTCATAATATTATGTTATACTGTTATAGCTGGGAATGTTGGAACATAGTATTTGGGGATGCACATTTTTAACTCGGGAGTGCAAAGTCCCTTATGCACCCTATAGGGGTCAGTTGTTGTCTAATCGTCTCACAGTTTAGTCTGTCTACTGTTATATTATTATAATGAGTGAATTGTCGTGTTACAATGTCAATAAATAACTTTTAAAATGTCATATATCAATCATCCGGATATTTGCTTATCTGAACCACCCTTGACATTAATTAGGTAGTCCGGATTATCAGAGTTCTACTGTATTAGTACCTATAATATGA